AGCGCCGGAGACAGCCAGGCCCTGGGAAGCAGCTGGCCAGCCCCCCGAGACCGATAAGAAATGGGAGCAAAGCCCCCTTCCCCTTCCAGGGGGGCAAGACCTTTCCCAGGGCAGCCCCCACCCCGCCTCAGCCAGGGAGGATGCCAAGGAGGGTCTGCGGCCCCCTGGGCAAAGCGGGGGGCAGCCATAGTACCTTCAGCCACTCCTCAGCCTGCTCCTTGCTCTGCACGGCCAGCACCAGTGCCTCGGCTCCCGGCAGTGAGAACCGCAGCTCATGCTTCTTGCGCCGCCCGTCCTTGGGGACGTAGATGACATTGCAGGACCCCAGGGGCACCTCCACGTGTGGTTGCCGGTCCTTGGAGCTTTTGTAGCACTGGGAGAAGCAAAGGGAACCGCTCAGGGCTCGGTCAAAACCTGCCTGTCCCGCTGCCGTGCCGGGCAGAGCTGGGGTCCCTCTGAGGGTCCCTCTCAGGTGGCACAGACGGAGGTGGCTCACTCTGTACAACAGCCTCGGTGGCAGAGGGCTGCAGGGTGCCCTCTCACTCCATGGGGTCCCAAAAGAGGGGAGCCCTCCATTCACTTGCAAGGGAAGCGAGGGCAGCCCATGCAAGTGCTCGGCAGGGCAGTCGCAGCCTTGGGGCAGAATCTTGGCTTGGATAGTGCTACTTTTCTTCAGCCTGGACCCGACCTTCCTCCCAGCCCACCAGCGGGTTTCTGTCCCCCTCACCAGCAGTTTGCTGTCCCGTATGATGGTGAGCTGCTTGGCCCACTGTCCAAAGCGCTTCTTGCGCAACAGGAAAGCGCAAATCCTGCAATCTTTCACCAGGTTCATGGAGGCTTCCTCCGATGGCCACTGGTGTGTCAGCTGCTGGCCCTTCCCCTCCTCCTCCTCCTCGTCGTACGACTCGTAAGAGCTGCTCATCGCATCCGAGTCATTGTCTGGAAGGAAGCAGGCGAGTCACCCCGAATGGCACCCCGGGGCCCTGCCTGCCGGGCATGCTTGCACACTGCCAGGGCTCCCTGCACCCGGCAGGCTCCAGCACAGAGCCTGGGCTGGGCACTGCGGTGGATGGACTCCATGTCATCCCCTGAAAACAGCAGCAATTTGACCCCAGCTGTCTCCCATTTCCCTTCCAAACCAGGCAGGATGCTCGCGGGCCAAATGCCAGTCCCAGGTGCATCTATCCAAACCCCTGGGCTAGCTTATTTCTTTGCAAGCCTCAAACTTTAAAAGCCTGGATTAAACCTTCCACCCGCAACAGAGGATCATGCGCCAGCCCTCTACCCCACACCTCCCGAGCAGGGCACAGAGGAGCAGGGCTCCGCAATGGTGTCCCTGCCCCAGCTCTCCTCCACCGTGGCAGAGGCAGCTCACGCAGGGCACAAGAGCTGCATAGGCAGGGACGCCCGTTCCCCATGCTGGTGACAGACACCGATTACATCCCTTCTGCAGCATGAGGGCTCTGGCGTGCATGACAAACAGCACACCACCCTCCTTGCTTTTTGCCCAGCAGCCTCTGACACGCGAGAGGTCCTCCAGCCTCAACCCCACCGGCCCCCAGCCCAGCCCTCAAGCCCCCATCTCGGGGCTGGACTTTGCCGAAACTCTCCCCTCCCCGGTGAGGGCACCTGGATACCTACAGGAGTTTTTTGGCTCCCCGTTCATCCTGGTGACGGGGTAGTTGCTGTCTGCATCCTCATAATAGCCATCCTCGATGGAGTTGGGGGGGCTGGAGCTGTCTGCGGAGGAAGCAGAGGGCAGCTGGGGCTGTTACACCTGGTTTCCCCCCAAGGATGCTCCAAGCAGCGAGCCTGCGAGCCGGGGCAGAGCAAAGCACACCTTCCCAGGGCATCTCAGCGTCGGTCCCCGCGCAGTTCCGACCTCTCCCCATTACCCCCTTCCCAGTCAAGCCAGAGCAAACAACTCCTTGCAATAACAGCACAGCAGGATGGGAAGGAAGCGGGACAGGAGCGATGCTGGTGGGAGCAGCCACGTTTCCTTCCAAAAAAAAGACGGGGCGTTCACCCCCACCGGGGGCTGCCTGCTTTACCAGGCGGGCAGGCGGGCGGGGGGATGCAGCGGGCAGCTTGCGGGGCTCCCCCCACCCTCCTGCCATCCCAGTGCAGAGCGGGACTCACTGCGGGAGGTGATGTACTCGGGGGCCTTGCCAGGGCCCAGGGGCAGGGCTTCCTCATAGTAATCCTCAGGCGGGGGTGTGGTGGGCAGCGGTGGAGCAGGGTCCACAGGAACCTAGGGCAGAAGCACCACCGGCATTAGCCAGGCAGTGGAGAGGGCCATGAGTCCCAGCAACTACTGCTGTGACAAGTGACAGGAACGGGTCCCAGCCCCAGCCACTGCCCCCTCCCCGGGCAGGTGCAGAGCAGACCTCGCAGAGCAGACCACCCGAGCCGGTGGGCAAAAAAAGGCCTTACGGCTTTTGCAGACTGGCTCCTCGCCGGCTCCAAGCCAACACCATCGCCAGTGTCCCCCTCCTCCTCCTGCATGTCCTGGAGATCCCGCAGGTCACAGTCTGCTGTAAGTGGAGAGGGTGAAGGGAGCAGGAAACCCCAGAGCTGGCCTCCCCAGCCATGCCCTCAGGGACCCTCAAGGCAAGCACCCATGGCCCTTCACTGCCAAGGTGCTGGGAGATGGGCACCGCTGGTAAATGCATCTGGGCCGGGGTGTGTGCGGACCCCCCATGGCCAGCCCCCAGGCAGCTTCAGGGGAGTGGGAGCAAGCACCCAGGGTGATGGTGCCCACCTTGGACACAAAGATGCAGCTTTTAACCTCCTTCCCCAGGGCGCCCCAAGAGCTCCCACTGTCAGCAGGGACCCTGAGGCCAGCACAGCACCCACCCAGTGGGACCCCTGGCAGTCACTCCAGGTTGGCCACACATACCGAACTCCTCGAAGAGAGACTCCACGAAGCTGGTGCCATTGCTCAGGGATGCCGTGTTGACGTACATGTAGTCCACGTCCTTCCCTGGGAGTGAGGGGATGTTCTCAGCCTGGGTGTGGGCAGGGTGGCCAGGGCGAGCATCGGCACCCCTCCTCCCCTCAAATACCAACCCAAGGACGCAGGCCAGCCCACCCCACTGTGCCATGGGGTGCTCCTCTGGAGCAGGCGCCCGGGGAGCAGAGGAGCCCCCAGGGGTGCTGCCACCCCACCCCAGGAAGGCAGGAAAGTGGGAAGGCTGTGAAGCCCCAGGTGCACGGCCCTCCTGGCCTTCCCGCGGAAACCCCTGCGCTCAGCAGAAACCGGTGGCAGGAAGACCTCTGCAAAGCGGCCTTTCCGCAGGGAGCAGCCCCCCCCCAGCCACGGCAGGGCTGACGCCAGCCCCTGCGCCTGGGGCGGGGAGAAGCTGGGAAGCGAGAGCGGGGAACAAAGCACCCCAAGGGGCCTGAGCAGGTGCTGGGCGCTGGGCACAGAGGCAGCTCATCCCTGCCCAGCGGGGTTTTCTCTACCCCACTGGGGTTTTGGCCCGGGGCAGCTGCTGGGGACACCCACTGCCCCTGGGGACAGCCACTGGGCACTGTGGGAGTGGGACACAG